CACCCAATCGTATAATCGTTTGTGCAGTCCCTGAAACAGTGCGAACACAACTTGTTGACGGCATCTTAGAAGACTTGCTACAAGATGTGACATTTTTGCGTGTGAACCACGCGTGCGTGTACGTCCACAATTTCCCACGGTCTCCATCAGGTATTTTATACGGCATTCTGAACTCACAAGCTGAAATGTAAAAATATTGTTTCCTGTCATTATACTTTTTGTTTTATTGCTGTCTGTTTTCGATGTAAACTCAAGCTGAACACAAAGTTGTTTATGGTTTTTATTTTGTGTCCAGATATTTTAGGGGGAAGCCATCTCGCATGGGTTCTTTTGTTGTAAGTTTTGTAAATTTGGAATCTGCAGACAGACTGCAGAGTATACAGGGAGTCCAAAAAAGTAAAGTACCTTTAAAAATTCATCTTATTGTTATAATTTGAATGCCTGAGTCCTATAGTGAACTCATGGGTGAGTAGACAATATAATTGAATCGAATTTTATGCATGACAGTTATTGAAACGTTTTTGGCATCGTTCAATATAGCCCGTAAAACAGTAAAAACTCTTTCGTCTGTAGAACCATTTTTAATCGAACTGACGGGACAAATTTCTAAGTTGTTTAAACGTTCAATTAGAATTTTCATGTACAATTTATGCAGGTTTAACATGCTCGCTAAAGTCGGGGTAATTTCTAAAGGGTCCGCCGGCTTTTTTTTTAAGGCACCCTGCAGTTCGGTCCAGTAAAGTTAAAACAAAACAAAACAAAGCAAAACAGAACAAAACAAAACGGAACGAAACAAAAGGCTTCATTACCAAAGAATAAGACCGTTCTTTTCCCAGTACCATTTTATAGTCCAATCGTGTACCACTTACCTATCGATCCGCTTTGCCGTTTAGCAGCATCTGGAGACGTTTGGTCTTTATGGAACTGTGAATCTTGTTCTTGGCGTGCTTGGGAGCGCGTTTCGCATCGATCCTTGTAAAAATGAATAAACATAAAATAACAAATTGGGTATGAGACAAAAAGCACGAGTTCAGAACGCCTCCACTTACCAAAAGTTGGAAACAAAAATGGACATTAAAATCAGAGTGATTACTGCTCGCTTCGACATCTTCAAAGTCCTGTTCTCTTCGTATCCTTTGATGAAATAACAACCCAAAATATTTCATGTACCTTAAAATATGTGTAGCTGTCAACGTTTTCACGAGGTCAGCAAACAAACCTCCGAAATATAGGAAGCAGGTTGACACGCATAGAAAAATACTTTGGAATTTACCGCAAACAGGACGCCAGGCCACGCCAAAATTTGGAATTTAATTTAGGACTTGCGCACAAAATATGCAACAAATTATGAACGAAAATTGAGCTCTCGCAAGTGATTTCAACACAGCTCGCTCGAGTCCCTCGCTTTAATTCACGCCTCGGTTAATACTCCGAGTCTGACAGATACCAGATTTCATAAAGGAACCACAAGCTACAAACAAAATGGACCTCATTCTATTTTTATTTAAAGTTTCCGGTGCGATAGGTTCGAAGCCCAAACATTTTGTGTCCCATGAACAATTTGACCGTTCTGACCTGTCCGGCCGTAGTGTTAATGGGAACGCCCTAGGAATTTTTCAGACCACTAACTATGTTTTGATTATTTTCTATAAACTTAAGCCGGTTACAGACGAGCAAGTTTTCTATGACAAGTTTTTATGTGACAAGTTTTATTTGCTCGTCTGTACGCGCAACTTTGACAATTTTTTCTTTTATAACAAGTGCACTTGTCATAGAAAAAATTGTCAAAGTACAAATTTTGTTCATCTGTATGGGTCAGCAAAGAAAACTTGTCAAAGTAACCCGAGCATTTGATGTGATTGGCCAGCGCTCGCGTTGTCCGCTGTATACTTATTACATTGCTGGCGACTAATAAATTGTCAAAGTAAACTTGTTGACACGTTCACACCAGTAAATAAAACTTGTCCTATAAAAATTTGTTGCATATGTACATACTTGTACACATACCGTGCACTTAGCAAATAAAACTTGTCACATAAAAACTTGTCGTAGAAATCTTGCTCGTCTGTAACCGGCTTTAGGTGGGCAACTTCATTGTTCATTGTTCATTGACAATACTCATTCGCACTTGATGTCGAGACTCACACGACATTACGCCAAGCGAAATATCTAAAAAGTATTACAATGATGTACCGTACCGAGTATAATCGTAAAAATAATGGCGATTCATGAGTTTATACTTAACCCATAAACTTATAGTAGCTACTGTATCATGTTCGCGTAACTCGAATGATAAATTAGCAACTGATATATGTAACGCAAACTGATTCAACCCACGCACACTACATATAATGATATATAACTTGATTAAATATTTGACTGTTCTCTGATCCGAGTTCATGGACCCATGCAGAATTGAAATATTCATGCTCAAATTAGTACATACTGGAAAATGTCATGATGATTGGACATTCACAATGCATAATGTTTTCAGTAAATGTCTAAACATCATAAAATTTTCGGTAGACTGATTTTAGCAGATGATTTCAATTCTAAGGTCGATTTTTGACAAAGATCGGTAGATATTGAGTTGAAAAATAACGTCTAATGACGTTAACTCGTATTCGAGAATTATATGAACACTTCTTCTGGATATAAAATCCAAAATTATACGCGAAAATCCTCATAATGTCCATTTAAAACCAATTCACGCCTCTCACTCAATTTATTCTATATGCATGTTTATATTCAGATTGAAAGAGTGATGCCCGCCCCTCAGTCATTTTCCTGTTGTGCTCGACACGTCATGTGGCGAAGACACAAACGTCTATAAGATTTCGACATGAGTTGCCTTTCATGTGAACAACAAAACCTTCAGGTCCGAGCTGAAACACTGCTGCCTATTTTCTGGGAAAATGAGCCTGCAAGCGTACTAAACAACTTCAAGTCTTTGATTTGTCTGACGTCATCCTGGTTCCCAGACCCTCTTTGTCTACTGCGCGGTACGAGGTTATAAAAGTGAGCGGCCTCTGTTGGAATAAATCAATGCTGTTGCAGTTGCTGTAGTTGACTGACGCTCAAGATTTTTCAAGCGACGCTTTTCAGATAAATGTGAGTTTTGATAGGGATAAATTTATTGATAAATGTATATATATCAGGCTACTAGTTATGTCAATCTGTTGAAGAGTTTTTATGAAAATTTCGATCAAAAATCGAATAAGACCTGACCGGAAAGTCTACGTGAAATGGTATAGCATAGACCTTCCGCCATGCGAGAATCGAGTCAGTCTCCCTGCGATTCCAGTGCAGCGCTCTGACCACTGAGCTAGCTAAAGAGTCCAGTCCACAAGATCTTGTAAATATAGTGAGGTGACGACATACTATGGGCCTATAGCTGCATTTTTCGCAACGGCTCCTGGTTATATGTAATAAATGTATAAAATATAAACATATATTAAAATACTATATAGATCACAAAGGCACAAGTTAACATTTTACGTCGTTATTTTTCAGAAACAAAACTACGCCATGCAGTCCATGCCGAATCTCGCTTTGGTCCTGTCTCTGTTGTGCTGTGGCCTGGCCGCATCTGTTGAAAGTATCAAACAGGTATGTGTCAACTCATTTTATAGAAGTAGAACTCTAGCTTTACTTTGTAATGAAATTTATGTTTACATGTGGTAACAAAAAGTAGCCACTATATCGTCTGCAAGACCACTGTGAACTGTGATCAACTGGTGACGTCGCTTGTAGCAGGCAATCAGAACAGGCGAATTGCATTGTTATCTGAACATTTTTTTATATTTTCGCCATGTTTAACAGTTCTATTAAAAGTTTGAATATTTTAGTGAAATATTTAACACGCCCAGCAATTGGGCTAACTATGTTTAAATAATATAAATTTGCGGTGCATGGCTGTTATGTATTGCCATTTGTGGTTTCTATTCGGGCGGGCTTAGACGGCACGGGGGGAAAATAGCTCTATCAGTTCTGACCATTGATATCAAAGGTTCTGACTTCCGCAATAATATGTAGACGTTAGACAAAGTAAAATAACAAAGTTGTGGGCATCAGGGCGCATTGCCAATTAAAGCGTTAACTATCATTAACTCTGCCGAAAATCGTAGGTTTTCTCCGGATGCTCCGTTTTCCTCCCACAGGAAAAGTTGACAGAGTGGATTAGGATAAACACAGTTAGGAATTAAAGTAATATCTCAATTGTTGTAAAGATGAATAGTCTGGGCTAAGTAAGTAATATGAGCGTAATACTTGATGTATTCGGTCACTGAAAAGCATGTAATGTAATAGTGTGTTCACAATGTATACTTGACTTTCATTGCGACCAGTATTCGTGGCATTGTCGTACCCAGGGCCCTTCTTACGCGCGGTACGACGAGGGGCTCTGGCCAAATCCAAATCATTTACAGAGATGTTTAACTTTAAGACACTTATTCTGAGCAAACAAATCAGTTCTACTGTATAATCAAAGGACTGGGTATTATTTTCTCAACATTGCTATAATAAATGTTTCATTTGATGTGTTGTACGACCCATACAGCTACTACAGCTGCATTGTTTCTGACATTTTGAGGTTTGCGATCGACGTCTCAAAAACACATTCGAGGTCGCGAGTTCAAAACCTAGCCGCGGCAGGCAATATCTTTCTGCTTGCGCGCGGTCTGGAAATTATGAAATACACGCTCGAGGTAACTGGCCGAAATGTGACGGAAAATGAAATTTGTTCGAGTTAGCGAGGAGTTCGAATTAAACGAATCCAAGTTATAGCGGGAAATATAGACTTCGATGTCATCCGAGGATGTGTCTCACTCTTAAAATGATATTAATATATACACGCTCACATTGCTTTCTTTCCTAATTTTTTTACTAGAGCGCTAAAACTGCTATTGAAGGACCTTCAGGTATGCAAATATCCGCTTTATCAGATATATATGCCAGGAGGTGTTTATATAAATGAGAGCCAGAGCTTTGACTTGGTGTCCTATAGGTAAGCTACGGAAATCATTCTTATTTATAATGTATAATTTCTTTCTTTCGTTATTTAGTTTACTTGCGCACAAAACGCGCAATATTTTCGTGTGTTGCATCGAGCATTGGTGACGGGTGGTGTGACCACGCCTGCAACAAAGCTGCACACAAATTCGACGGAGGCGACTGTTGTAAACACTCGTGCAAGTCAACCACATATTCATGTGGTTCTGGTGGCTACGACTGTAAGGCAAACAAGGTTCCAGTCTGGTTCTTGGTCCACACCAAACTCTGTTACCAGTGGTACCCGGACGGCGATGGAGGTCAGTGTGGTGCGGGCGAACCCAGACATCTTTGCGCGAACGTCAACGCGGCCACCCGATATTACCGAGACGACACGGACAACAGAGGAGGCGGTTGTCGCATGAGCTGGTCCATCCAATCACCTTACAGCCCACAGTGGTTCAAGAACGTGCAAATATGCTACCGATGGTACCCGGATGGTGACGGCGGTCAATGTGGCGGTGGGGCAGCGCGCCTGCTGTGTGCCCCGGTGGGTAAATACACGCCGGTCTACCGAGACGACACCGACAATCGCGGCGGTGGGTGTAGAATGTCTTGGCAGCTCAAACTACCATCCGTGCATAGTTGGTGGGCGAGGAATATCCAGTTTTGCTACGAATGGTATCCAGATGGTGATTGTGGACAGTGTGGAGGTGGTGCTGCTCGCAAGCTTTGTGCCAAAGCGAACAACTGGACTCCTTACTACAGAGATGATACCGACAACAGGGGCGGCGGATGTCGCATGAGATGGGGCCTTTATTACAAGTGAAACAAAATTATACTGACTTGTATTACTATAGTGTTTAGTCTTTCTAAGATTTTGATGTTGCTGTAGTGTAGTTGTGCTTGCGTAATCCTGCTATAATTTTGCATAATCTTTTCTAATTTCATAATTTTAAGTATGCATACAACAACATGATATAAAATACAAAAAAACAGTAACTCCGAATAACATTTTGTTTTGATTTGGAGGCGAAACCCGGAACTAAACCATGGCGCTAAAGCATCTAAAGAATTGATCATATTTCACTGACATTAAGCTCCGCCTTTCTTCTCTTTATATATAGCTGTATTTGTAATCTTACACTAATCCTGAAGATGACTACAATCTAGTCGGAACGTAGATTCAATAAATCAAAACAAAATGTTATTCGGAGTTACTGTTCTTTTGTATTTTATTAAAATACTGAGTGGTTCCAGTAATTAACATGATATAGCACTTGTAGTTTTTGTTAATTTTGTATTGTGTGACATTTTTTTACGGTACGTATGAAGCGCTCAAAACTAATATACGATTTGCATGCCGTTATAAATGACTACATTCAAATATTTCGATACTTTTCTCAATCGGCAAACAAACTTAAAAAGTATGTATGTTTATGTACTTATACTCCTTTATCTGTAAACTAATGCTAAATGAAACGATTTAAAAGGTATGCCAACGGAGAAGATTATGTCTGAAATTCAGTACGTTTTGCTCATATTGCTGTAATTAATAAATTTTGGGCATCACTGATCCTTTTTATTTAAAACTGACAATTTTTTGCTATTATTTTATGTTTCTCCTGACCGGCAAATGCATTTAAAAACGCAGCTATGACTGTTTAAACTAGAGAATAAAACTAGTACAAAGAAATTTTGAGAAGAATTAAAATACTTCTCATCGCGTATAGGCTACATAGAAAAAATTTAACTTTGAAACAAATGATAGCGATATATTAATTTTATTTTATTACAACGATGTTTCGATGCATCATTTTCAAGTTAAAGATAACAATTAGTCATGTTTAGCTTTAATTCTTAGCTTTACCTTGAAAATGATGCAAGAAGCATCGAAACGTCGTTGTAATAAAATAAAATAAAATAAAATAAACGGAAATTAAATTATATATAATTTCGACGAGCCACATGCAATCTCCAGTGTAATTTGTAGTGAGTACTATAATTTCACCAGTTTGTTTTGCTGGCTAATCATGAACCTTAGTAACTTTTTGTAAGCTTTACAATTTATATGAATAAACATCATTAAAATCAATGTATTTCTAAATATCAGACTATCCATGGCAATATACTGGTGCGACCATTCATGTTTTACAAAAATAGCTTAGGACCAATGTGTTGGACCCAACAAAATAAAGGACCAAGATATGGCGGAAATATGGTCGACTGCAAAAGGGCTACATCTCCTGTCTTATGTCATCTTATGTGATTGTTTTGTCTTTATCATAGAGTATATGCTACCATTAACACAAAATCTCTTCGTATACAAGCTTTGTCAATCTCGAACCCAGAGCCCACAATGCACTGTGCATTCCAGAAGTCCTATGTATTGAAATAATTGCTCCACCCATGGATAATAAAATAAATGGATAGGACTCTCGCTGACGTAAGCTAAACAACCTAGTTGCAATCTGTGACGTCACGCGTATTGCAAAGTTCTCTGCATTTTTGTTGTTTCGCTATATTTTCCGCCTTAAAAGAGCAATATTGACGCATAAACCGGTCTAATTGTTTTAAAAACATGCCTAAGCCACGACAAAGTATTCAAGGTAAATGTTTTTCGTCTTTGTTTTGTATTTTTTTACATTTGTAGCTACGAAATTGGCGTCCCCGATTTTAACGAAATTTGGGATGCCTTTTTCACTGTTTAGTGCTTGAAATATTTGCTAAAATTGACTGGGAATACTTAGAGATTTCATCGTAGAATCGCGTAGTTATATTCATTTGTTCTTTGACTAAAATGTTTAGCTGTATTATTGCTAAACATGCCGTTTTTGAGAATTTGGTTTGCAACTAGGTTTCAAAATCCAATCACGCCATCAGCCCATTGAAAACATTAATAGGTCACGTCAGCTAGTTTCCTATCCATTTATTTTATTATCCATGCTTCACCTAAGCACTTCTAAAGTCTATTGATGTAAGCAACATGCAAAGCAGTGAAAAGCCATTTCACCGAGAATTAGCCTATCAGCTTTTCCGACCGTTGGATTTCACTGCGTTTTGACACGATTTTCCTAAACTCGTACCCAGGCGCTAATAGGAAAAATCGCGCCAAGCACTCCATTGTTATATATATAGATCAGTGGTTAAGCTGAGGCTTGGGGAGGATGCGATGGGAGTCTGGAACTGGAACGCTTTCTCTGACCGAAAATTTGAAGCCAAACTTGAACGCCAATTTCTGTCGTTAAACGCATCCGAAGAGTACGATCAATCCGTCAACACGAATATGCATGTATTCTTGAAAACCAGCGTACAAGAAAAATCCTTTTATCAGCGGTGAAAACATTCTATTAATAAACTTAACTTTTAGTTTTTCTTATTAATTAAAACGGCATGCTCGCTCTCAGAAGGCGCGTGTCTAGGGGTCAGATTTGGTTTCAAGAAAAAGATAGACAGTTTATCTGAAGGTAGCATTCATGACCAGTTATATACATTTTACTGTTCTTGCCTACCTATGTCTCGTCGTTTAAAGATTTTAATAACTAAAAGACACGTTCAAAATTTTTCTTACATTTTTATTACGAGAAAAGACATCCACATGTTTAATTTATCAACTAATACAATGTAACTACTGGCATTAAGCGGATGTCTTGCATTCCTGATTGAATGCACTCCAGAACTCACCAATCTTAGCCACTTGAAGACTTGGGAGCATACTGCGCGATATTGTACCGGGGTACAGTCATGGCAACGTAGGCGCTTGGCACAGAAGCAGACCCTGATTCAAGATGCAGTGTTCCTTGGGCGGCCTTAATGTTCACATGTTCTGGAGGAGTGGTGCCTTCGTAGATATTGTCCTCATACACGTGGTGTTGATTCAGGTTAGCGTGTTTACCAATGAATATACAATCTTTTGAAGTTGGATTAGCTCCTTCGATCTCGAAAACATTTCCAGCGTAGACTAGATTCTCGTCCGTGAAATCCTGGTGGGGTTCAAGGTAATAGATACCGCTTTTTCGGCCGCCGGGGTCCGTACGTTCCACAATGTGGTTGCCATAGACCAGGACATTCTTCAAAAACAACGGAAGCGGTCGGCCGGCCCGCTCGTGGATGTACAACAAGATTCCTGTATCGTCTACGTAATTGCGCGCAATAACAAGACCTTCTCCGTTTCGTGCCTTTATCCCGCCGGACGAGTCGGGATCCCAACCCCGCACGTAATTTTCCGTGAAGTTCAAATTGTGAAAAGCCTTCAAGTAGACAGCGTGATCTTTGTGTGTGGGTCCATTGCGAACAAAATTGGGGCTGCCGTTGAAAATGTTCTTGTCAATTGCACAGTCATTGTTAAAGCCATGGTAGATTGAAGATTTCCAGAAGCCCTGATCGTCACGGAGATTCAACTCATTCTTGAGAAACTCAAGCTTCAGTTTTAGTGTTGGCCAGTACGTCGTGCCCAGCTCGTTATCCATCCAGTCAATTCTTCCCAGATCTAACCCGAAGATGTTGTTTTCTATCTCAATAGCTACCGATCTCTGCACGTCAACGGCGACGCCAAATCCGCGTTCATCTCGCAAAAAAACCGAATGACTCAAAGCGGGACGGTGTACGCCACTGTTATCGATGTCAAGAATGCGGACCTGACCCTTGTGAAGCCTAGCGTGGGGGGAGGGGTTCTCGTTTGAAAAGAAAACACAATGAGAAATCGTGACTCTGTCTTGCTCAAATTCCAGTTGGACACCATCAAAGAACAAACGATCAATATCAACGTAATCATGGGCTGCTATTCCTTCATAGTTTATGGTGGTCAATAAAGCACTTGTACTTTCGGTGCAAAACAAACTGATACCGTCAACAGATCCCATCAAGGTGACTCTACCTTTGATGATAAGGTCCGAAGTGATTAGATATTTTCCGGCGGGGAAGTAAATTACAGTCGTTCCGGATGTTTGGGAAGCATGATCGAAGATGGCTTGTAGGGCTGCGGTGTTGTCATTCTGTCCAGTTTTGTCAGCTGCATTTAAGCTGTTACTGTTAGCAGGGTCCGGATTTGTCACGTCGATGTCGCCCCTAGCACTGGCAGGATCGTTTACGTTGAAGTAATCTAAGTAAAACAGGACACAGTTTTACCATGACATACTTGTCTGTACATTGTTACGCGAGTGAACACGCGAAAACGCACAAGTTGTTACAATTATAGACTGCAAACCAATTGTTACAAATCTGTACACAAGCTGTCGACAAGATGTGTTCGCACTGCTTGTTCCCAGTTGTTGCATCAAGTTAATTGGAGGAAGGTGTTAACAACTTGTAACAAGCTTGAAGGCATTATGATAAAAAACTATTAGTTTTGAAACGGCTATCTTTAAAACAAGGAACGGGGAATGGGAACGGGGAATGGGAACGGGGAATGGGAACGGGGAATGGGAACGGGGAATGGGAACGGGGAATGGGAACGGGGAATGGGAACGGGGAATGGGAACGGGGAATGGGGAATGGGAACGGAAGTGGAAACGCGAACGGCAATCATATAAAAATCATCATTTAAAAAACGAATAAGTTCTTTGTATGTTTGCATGGTGAAAAAAATATAATTTATACTCTGTCGCCCTCACGGATCGAAAGCTTTGTGAATCTACAAAGTACAAATTGCAAAAAAACGAAAAAGCAGCCGAGCTGAGAAAATCCATTTTATACATTCAACAAATTTATATCGTGCACATATTCTGCTATTTTTAATTTATTATGATCTATGATAATTCATAGCTAGTTTTCGTAAATAGAATAAAGTTGAATTGCAAGCACTGCTTATCGTTAGCCGCGAATGACTTCAATCTTATATTCGGCTTTGTTTCAGCGGTATATCCCACAGAAACGGTCTTTTATTGCTAAAATAATCATACATGCAAAGTGCCATCTAATATACAGTAGAATCTCGCTATCTCAAATGGGAGGCGAAGATTGTTCAAGTTAGCACATGTTCGGTTAACAGGGATTTGTGTTGGATTTCGTTTCACAAAATTTAAGCCATTGCGGTGTATTTTAATGGAATAGCTCTTCGAGTTAGCAAAATTCTACTGTATCACGTTCTCAAAACATCTACTGTTCTAGGTGATGCGCATGCACAAAGCTATCACGTGCACACTTGTTTTTATATACTGAATGAGTTTCACCCTGCAGAACCATTTTCAGACGATATGATTCTAAAAAATGCTGTTTTTGACCTGGACCAATGTTATAATGAAATATATCAAAATTAGTGCTACAACCGAAAACTCGTGAAAAGTTATAAGAACTAAACTATGTTAATCAGGTCTCATTCCTGCTGTCAGATTATTGTTAATAGTTAATACTGCGGAAATACCAGTGTTGAATGCCGAGCCTGATAATGAAGAGGTTGAATACCATGAAAAGTAAACTTATCCGCCTTCCACTTATCAACTGTCAATCCAAACTCCGCGTTCAATCTCACAACGGTGTTCCTGTAGAAAATGTTGGCGAAAAATTGAGAGGAACAACAAGGGCACTAGCTGGAAATTCCGGATACCGTGCTCTTATGCATGCTATTCTGAGGTGAAGATGGACATTTTTTGTCCGAGAGGCAGTCATTGAGATTACCGGTGTCGACGGGGTAGACGAATCATCACGGTCGTTGCGTTTACACTTTGAGAGATCTTTCTTGCAATCCATGCCACTGTTTACGTACTTCTCAAGTCTGGACTTTCTTTCTTCTTGGCTTAGAGAACCCCACTGCTTTTCGTCAACAGCGATCTTCGTTTTGATATATTTAATTATAACATTGGTCCAGCTCAAAAACAGCATTTTTTAGAATCATATCGTCTGAAAATTGTTCTGCAGGGTGAAACTCATTCAGTAAATAAATTATAAAAACACTGTGTGCACGTGATAGCTTTGTGCATGCGCATCACCTAGAACAGTAGATGTTTTGAGAACGTGATACAGTAGAATTTTGCTAACTCGAAGAGCTATCCATTAAAATGCACCGCAATGGCTTAAATTTTGTGGAACGAAATCCAACACAAATCCCTGTTAACCGAACATGTGCTAACTTGAACAATCTTCGCCTCCCATTCGAGATAGCGAGATTCTACTATATATTAGATGGCACTTTGCATGTATGATTATTTTAGCAATAAAAGACCGTTTCTGTGGGATATACCGCTGAAACAAAGCCGAATATAAGATGGGAGTCATTCGCGGCTAACGATAAACAGTGCTTGCAATTCAACTTTATTCTATTTACGAAAATAGCTATGAATTATCATAGATCATAATAAATTAAACATAGCAGAATGTGTGCACGATATAAATTTGTTGAATGTATAAAATGGACATTCTCAGCTCGGCTTCTTTTTCGTTTTTTTTTTTCAATTTGTACTTTGTAGATACACAAAGCTTTCGATCCGTGAGGGCGACAGAGTATAAATTATATTTTTTTCACCATGCAAACATACAAAGAACTTATTCGTTTTTTAAATGATGATTTTTATATGATTGCCGTTCGCGTTCCCACTTCCGTTCCCACTTCCGTTCCCACTTCCGTTCCCATTCCCCGTTCCCATTCCCATTCCCATTCCCATTCCCCGTTCCCATTCCCTGTTCCTATTCCCCGTTCCCATTCCCCGATTCCCCGTTCCTTGTTTTAAAGATAGCCGTTTTGAAACGCCATCAGACCCTCCCTAAGACAGTTTGTTTACATCGAAAACAGATAGGAATAAAACAAAAAGTATAATGACATTATGACAGGAAACAATATTTTTACATTTCAGCTTGTAAGTTTAGAATGCCGTATAAAATACCTGATGGAGACGGTGGACCATAAGAAATTGTGGACACGCACGCGCAATTTGCTCAAGTCCGAGGCTTCGCCTCGGTGACCAGTGACTAGATTTCAAGACCGCGCAATTGACCATTTGCGTAATAGACTAAATTTTGAACTAAACAAGTCTAGACAAAAATTTCATCACAGCTTGAAGGAGCATCGCAAAATTAGTAATATTCCAAAGTTTCGTTGCAAAATGTTGTAAAATGCGGAAAATATAGCCTTGCGAAATTTGCAATTTTCAGTCATCATTTTAGATTAATTTAAAAACGGGAAATTGATAGCCCCAAACCCTTCGAGGCTGTCAATTTCCGATTTGTAATCTAGAATGACTGAAAATTGCAAATTTTCGTTTTAGTGTTGTCTGAAGTGTTCCTTTGGAAATTTATATTCACCTTGTTGTTACATTTGAATGCCTGAGTCCTATATACTCAACCCATGGGTACGCAACTCCAATTGAATCGAATTTTATTTAAAAACTATTAGTAAAAGTTTTTGGTATAGTTGATTAATTTAACGCAGCGCGTCAAAAAACCAGCAAAAGTTCTTTGCTCTGAAGTCATTTGAACCATTTTTAATCGAACTGAGACTACTAAGTCAACAGACGGGACTAATTTCTAAGTTGTTTTAACGGCTTTCAATTAGAATTTCCATGTACAATTTTTGCAGGTTCAACGTGCATGCTCGTACGATACAATGCATTCCGGCTAAACTTTTAGAGGTAAATAAATGAAGATTGGGTGTTCACAACAAAACTAAAAGGTAATTTTTAACTCTTTTTAAAGGGTTACTTTTTTAGACACCATGTAGCTAATTCGCTCCATGCAGAGAAGTTGAAACAAAACGAAACGAAACGAAACAGAGGGCTTCATTGCCGAAGTATTAGATCGGTTTTTCCAGTGCCATTTTAGTCCTATCGTTTATCACTTACTTACCAGTTGATCCGCTTTGCCGTTTAGCAGCGTCTGGAGAAGTATGGGATTCCTTTTTGGCCTTCACGAAACTGTGAACCTTGTTCTTGGCGTGTTTGGGAGCGTGTTTCGCGTCGATCCTTGAAAAAAATAAATAAATATGAAATAAAGAAAATAGGTATGAGACAAAAAGCACGCGTTCAGAACGCCTCGACTTACCAAAAGTTGGAAACCAAAATACACATTAAAATCAGAGTAATTACTGCTCGCTTCGACATCTTCAACGTCCTGTTCTCTCCGTATACCCTTTGATAAAATGACAACCCGGAATGCTTCATGTACCTTAAAATATGGGTAGTTGTCCACGTTTTCATGAGGTCACCAAACAAACTTTAAATATAAAAAGCAGGTTGACACGCATAGAAAAATACTTTGAAATTTACCACAAACGGGAAGTCTGTGTTGCCAAAATTCGAAATTTAATTTAAGACTTGCGCACAAAATATGCAAGAAATTATGGACTAAAATTGAACCCTCGCAAGCGGGCAAGTGACTTGAACACAAGAGAGTCCCTCGCCGAGTTTAATTCACGCCTCAGTTAATACTGTGAAAGATACCAGATTTCATAAAAGAAGCCACAGGCTACAAAAAACGGCTAGAGTGTCAAATTCAATATCAGGGTTTTGGGGGCATCTATATAACTAATTGTAGTTAGGTACTTTTTAAAACACAAGCAGGAATGCTTTATCAGATCTGAGTGTTTTTACTGAAATGGCATAAAAAACACCAATTTAATAAGTTCATTTTAAACTGAATCAACGTTATGTAAGCTGAGAAAGTGAAAGTTAAAGTTTATGTTGACATACAAGGACAATTGACAGGATTTTTTATCACATGTAAACAACCGACACGGTGGCGATTTTCTGTGTCTTTACCTGGGGCCGTTTGTATGAGGCGCCAAATATGACAAAATAGATCATAGTTGTGTGATATATATTACTGCAAATATATCCAGTATAACTCGTCATGAATAGGTTACTCTTCCAAATATTTGAAATATTGTAAGCGCGTGATATAGGTTACAAATCATGGTTTATATCACAACTCGTGATATAGATCACATTTCAGTTCGTGATATAGGTTACAAATCATGGTTTATATCACAACTCGTGATATAGATCACAAACCACAATGCAGCTCGTGATATAGGTTACAATTTCGCGTTCGGAATTACTTCATCTTACGACCCATATAGTGGACGGAGGGCTATTTTATATTCCAGGGAGGGGGGGACATTACATTGGACCATTAATTGGACGACATTCATTGTTGATGCTTCGCGCCTTCGCTTCGATTTTGAGCTGTAACTGACCGTCGTAAACACTGCGGAAGCTTACGTTTTCATGTACCCACTTTTTTTCAGGCGACCGGGCAAAAAATGATCAACTGCGCGTGCTCAGCAAGTTTAAAGTGAGTCGTCATCAGGTCGTCATCCAATCAGATGCATGCATCTAGTAACTTGCCGAGCATGCGCACAAAAAAAGTGTGTACACTAGTTACGTCTCTGTATGTCTCTACTCTGTGTATACGGCGAGTAATTCAACCAATCAGATTGCAGAACAGCTCATATACGGTGAATGACTATATTATATATATATATATATATATATATATATATATATATATATATATATATATATATATATATATATATATATATATATATATATATATATATATATATATATATATATATATATATTTCACATAATTTTGATAAACAAGGTAAAAGTGAAACTGGACGATAATTACACTGACCTGAATGGTAAGTGTCTTAAATCCCTAGTTTTCTGTTTTCTGTTTTTTTCGTCGTCGAGAAATCGAGTTTGCGTTCGCGCATCGCAGGCTCAGGGTGCAACGATTAATCCAAAATGCCATCGATTCTTCGACTCCACGATTCATATATAATAGTAAGAAGTTTGTATTTATGTACGTAATAGCCGGCTCATGCCATGCTTGTGGTGCATTTTTCGTTTATTAGCCCATATATAGACTTATATGGACTTATACGCACGCGCACAATTCCGAACTCCAATGGTGACATATTCAGTCCAGTTTCAAAATGGCGCCTTTTGGCTGAGTGATCAGAATATATTTCACACAGTTTCGTTGAATTTTCAAAGAGTTGTGCCGGTTTCCTATGGAGTTTACGTTGTGTCGCACTCTGAACTTTCTTGCGTGTTGAATTAATATGTTTTTCTTCGTGTAACGACTCGAAAACCCCAAAATTTGGACCCAGCGAATTTTACAAAGGACAAGTTAAAGGTTTGACAGTTTGACTTTTTAACTAATAAACAACTGTCTATAAATATACGTTGTAGAGTCATAAACATCCGTGATGTAGTTGTGTTCATTTTTTGTCGCACTCTGGACTTTCTTGCGTGTTGAATTAATGTTTTTCTTCTTGTATTAAACGACTCTAAAATTTGGCTTCCAAAATTTGGCCGACCCGGCGGATTTATACAATCAATATGTTGTATTCAACGACTCGAAAACCCCAAAATTTGGACCCGACGCGAATTTGTACAATATAGTGGGATGTAAGCTGGGACAAGTTAAAGGTTCGACATTTATTTTGATTTATTGTATGGTTCTCATTTGCCTAATACAATAACATTTAGTTCACAATACAATATAAACAAGGGCAAGTTAAAGGTTTGACCATATTAAAATACATGTATTGAAATTCGCGCAATAGCTACTAGAATTCGCGCAAGTAAAGATAAAGCGAGCGTTCGATCAAAATACCAAAAAGAACTAAGACATTTATTGTATGGTTCTCATTTGCCTAATAGAATAACATTTAGTTCACAATATAATATAAACAAAATATAAACAAGGAAAAGTTAAAGGTTTGACAGTTTCACTACACAATGTCGACAATATACCTTAATACATGTATTAAAACTCGCGCAGTAGCTACTAGTTGGTGCGCCAAACGCTTTGTGGTAGCTATAG